AGAACTAGGCCAACTCTTATGTTTGGTATTTTACTGGGGCCTTTTAATGGCCTCGTCCAAATATCTGGTATGTAAAATGGATAAGGTATTAATCAATAAAACCATTAAAAACCATATAGGAAACTTAGTTTCCTCGTACTATTACGAGTACGTTTATAACAGAGTCTAATATATGTCTTCCGGGATGGCAAGCTGTGGCCGGAAGCTTATTTTTCATCAAAGCTCACGCCTGCCTAGCTGAACTATCACATCGGCTAAGGAGTGGCTGACAAATCGGCCTATGTACAAACGCTTGCACCACCCGGTGACGTTGGTCTCGGACCAAGAGGCATTGCTGTTTATGTGGCACAGGGATGATTTTGCGACGGACCCGCGGGGTTGCAAGCAAGGGCGCTGGCAAGACAAGAGGTGTGTATAGACATCGAAGTCAGGATCCTGCACTTGCGGGTCGTCGACAACGGTCCTGCGTACATGTTGAGCCATCATGGAGCAGGTGCGGAGCCAAGGGTTGAACACTAAGAGCCGGGTCACCTGGTGGTATCCTGTGGTGTGTGACGCTAAGCATAGGACTAATGAGTATAAGGCGGCGACGTTCGTCTTTGATAAAGCAGAGCGCGCGTGGAGACCCCTTACCCATGACGCGTTCGCCCTACCTGGGAATCAGCAATTGCCCAAGTATTTCTCCCCATCCACGGATGAGGGTGCGTTGACGTGAGTCCTGGCTGGGCCTGAACATTTGGTCCAATGTACCGTGTGAGGTAATTCCCCGTGTCTTGGCGAAGGTACTCATCGAGCAGTTAGAGATCACTTTGGCGTGCCCCTACATGCCAAATGAGGATTAGCAGGGCATCATGACCAAGATGCTGGCGGTTCCGCCGCAGAAAGGCGTGTTCTTTAGGCATGGTCATGAGGCAATGGATAAGCCTCCGTGGGGCTTCACTCTGCTTTGTCGTACCTCGTATGCTAAGCGGGTATGTACACCTCTCGGATGAGTTTTGGGTGGGCGTGCATGCATTTGCCAGATGCCCGGCAGCGGGTTGTGCCGTGGCCCCTGCCTTCTGGGCTCAGCCGCAGAAGGCGCCGTTGGTGTCCACGAAGCGCGAGGTAGAGTGTCTCTTGGGTGGTTCGTCCAAACATGGTGCTCAAGCGAGGGCGCAGCGTGAGGAGCGCAGGCGGCGTAGCGTGCAGCGTCGGCAGGCCAGTGCGGCTCTGTTGGCGAGGCAAAGGATTTCCCATACACTTTGAGGGGATGCAGCTGTCGTGACCAGAGATCAGGAACGTGGTTGGCGCAGCGCATAATGTGTACATGCATGTGGGTGCGGAGGAAGTCCTGGGCAAACTTTGGGTGCTATATGGCTGGACGGGTCTGGATAATCTGGCGCAGGCGGTGCGTCGGTCTTGCCATACCTACCAGATGAGGGCGCCGCACGGCACGCGTCAGTAGGGACTCATACAGCAGTCTGACCGATCTCGTGACCTGTTCAAGCACGTGTTCATGGATTTCGCGGTTTTGCTTACCTGCTCTGACAGGCATAATACTGCTCAAGTCCTTCAAGTCCAAGAGCACCGCGGAAAGGTGAAGCATTTTCTGCTGGAGGTGGTCTACCCATGGGGTCAGCCTAAGACGTACACGGTGGACCAGGATAGAGTCCTGGACTGAAAGGACACCCAGGATTTCGCCCACGGTCACGGGAGTAAGTAGATCTGGTTACAACCGACCACCACCAAGGCGATGGGGCGGCGGAGGCAGCCGAGAAGGTATCAAAGGATTGGATCTTTAAATCTCTCACGAAGGACATACAAGGGGACTGGGTACTTTTGACGTTCAAGTTCTGCATTGTGTACAATGCGGCGGCCATGTCTACACGAAGACCCGTGTCATATA